AAAAAAAAAAAAAAATATATATATATATATATATATATATATAAATTATCTTATTGGTTATTTGTTTACTTCTTTCTTCACACATTTTCTTCTACTACTCTATCATTTTCTAATCGCTTTTCGTATGCCTCTTTTTTTTTTTCTTTTTTTCTTTTTCTTTTTTTGATTGTTTTTCCTTCAACAAGATACTTAGTGTCTTATATTTATTTTTTAAAACTCTTTATCACTCTTAATTTTAATATTTTTGAAGTCCTTATTTTTCACTTTATTTTTAATATTACATATATTAAATAGAAGGTTGTAAATTTTATGAAAATATAATTTCTAAATATATGACATTGATATTACAATGAATTATTGATTAGAAATAATTTTATAAGTTTTAATTAAAAACAGACAATTTTAGCATATTTCAATAAAACTTGTGTCGTAAATGGATCTGGACTAGTTCGGTTGGATCACATATTATTTGATTTCTTATTGATTTTTACTAAATGACTAAGAAAAGTTTAATAATTAAAAACAAGGCCTAAAAAATTATCACTTTTATAAACTTTAATTTGTCCACATAGATAAATATTCTACATATATATATATAGATAGATAAATACTTTTCACAAATTTTTTTTTTATAAATGATAGATTATACTTTATTTATTAAACTAAAATAAATATGCCAATAAAAATATTTATGATAATAATTATCTAACTTGAATTTTGGAAAAAATAAAAAATAAAAAATGTTGAGCTGGTCTGAAAAGCCTACAACTTACATATACTCGAGTTTGGAGATTAATTAAAAAGACAGAATTAAACTCAAACTTTTTTAATCTAATCTATTATAACTAGTGCTTTACATTGAACTGATATAGGAATAGTTTATTTTGAGGGCTCTAATCAAAGACAAATTTTATTGGCTCGTAATCACACATGTATGACGAAATTTTTGTGTAAGGTTGAAGAAGCCGTCTCCAAGTGGTGTAACCAAGCACAGATGTATGACGAATGTTTTGTGCAAGAGTTTACAACCAAAAGACACAAGGTAGCTATACCTTTGCGTCTCCATCGTAAATGTTCCTTTCAAACAAAATTACAGAAACACGACTCTATGAAGTATATATCAAGTCTAAACGATGACCCTTTCCCTCCAAGAAAGGACTTGTCTCGTGTGCCATGCAAAAGAAAGATACCACAATAATAAGCACCTCTTGGCATATTCTAAAACAAGCAATTCATACACGTACGGCATATTCGTTTCCTTGTACCTCATAGATTCACTGTTTTTTCACAAACTACACCCAATAAATCATTAAAAAAAGAAGTGCAAATATAAATCGCATCATTATAATCAGATGCTTAATTTTATGAATTAATAATCCATGATATATACATACAAATACAATTTTATTTATTTTTGCACTATTTACAACTTGATCATCTTGTTTGGTTCTTGTTTTGGAAACCCTTCCTTAAACAATGACAAAGGAAAGGACATGGAGAAGCCAACAATAGACTTGAAGGTGATAACGGGTCCTTCTTGAGGATTGGCCTTGACATAAATCTCACTCAAAGTGAAGCAAAGGAAGAAATCCTTGGCCTTGACCCCAGTGAGATTCTTGATCTTGTTTGGCTCCACATAAGCAGTGACCACATTATCATAGCACACAAGAATGTTGTCAAACTTGTGCTCCCTCTTCTTCTCCAGCTTGAGCCAAACAAAGCCTATTTCCTTGACAAAACCACATTCTTGAATGTCTTGAATGGTTAACAAGGCATCGGGAAGACCTATTTGTGCCAACAACAAAGAGAACTTGTCCCTGCAAACTTGGTCACCATGATACACCTCTGCTTTGGACTTCAACTCCTCTGTTATTGCTTCTGCTTTCTGCATTATGAATGATCTCTATTTCACCTTGTTTATATAACTTTGTATATTTATAGTGCTTTATTAGATGATGAGGTTCGCCGAATATCCTAAAATATGCCACCAAAACCAAATTCCCCATCCTCTACGTGCTTTTCACTTTTCATACCATTTCAAATTTTAAATATATTATCAAACTAATATACACTAAAATATAAAAATTAGCATAATATTTAATGTTATTCTTGAAATTTTTTCCAAATATATCAATAACCACATTTCTTTCCATATATATTATTATTTACTATATTTATTAAACAAAATAAAGTGATTTCTTCTTTATATAATATTAATTAAATTGATTTATTTATTTATTAAGCACTATATGTAATTAATATTGGTGCTACTAGTAAGTAATATATTTATTATACTATGCATATAATATTTATCAAATTTAATAAATATAATATATTATAATATACTGAATGTACTACTCTTCATATCAATCTATATACATTTCAAAATAAATTATTAGACTAAAATATGAATGCGAATATTCGAATTCAAGGGAAGGATTCGAGCTTTTGTTAAATAAAATATAAGAAGTCTTCCTCTACCAATTCAAAATAATAAATCATTATATTATTAGATATAAAATGTTAATTTTTGTTTTACAATCAAGTTTTACTACTTAATTATATTTTTATGGAAAAAATTTATTAGCAAAATATATTAATATTGTAGTTATATGTGATCCTCGTATTAAACATAACCACAAACAACATCAATAATAATACACATACCGCCATGATGTAAGAATAATGTCTCTGATAAATGTTGATTGAAAATGATAATAATAAAATACGTATACATACATATCCAAGAATAATACTCCTTCCTTAGTGTATAATGTAGTTATTGCATTTGAGATTAAGTAAGCGAGGTTACAAGATACAAACATGTAACAAAATAGTTAATTTAGTTCATGAAATTACATTTCAATATCACGTTAAGTTCTGAAACTGAAAAAAGAGGTCCAATGCGATGTTTAAGAAATAGCCCAACCTTTTCACTACCAACCCAATTCGGTCATTCTCCCGTTAACCCGGTTATGAAAATTGGGCCTACTTTTTTAATGTTATAAGGCTGATGATATATACACCTCCTATCTTTTATAAATACATTTTTATTTTTTTTAAATAAAATTCTTAAAATATTTTTTTAACTAAATTTTTATTTTAAGTTTTATTTTTAAATTTATTTTTTATTCACTCCTTTTTTCATCATTTTTCTTTTTCTTTCTTCTTCTTTTTCTCATTTTCCTTTTTCATCGCTTTAGTCATTTTTTGATGATTTTATTCTTTTTTATTTTTCATTCTTGATTTTTCATCTTTTACAATCAACATAATCATATTTTATCTTTATATTTTTTAAATTCTATTTTTTCACTTTCTACTCTATTATTTCTTAAATCCTAATTTTTCATTCAATCTTCATTATTCTTTACATTCAATACAAGGTACAAATTAATATATTAAGTTACATTTTATATTTATAATTTTTTTTAACTTATTTAACATTACTTGTGAACAACTGGATCGTAGACGACAGTAGTGGATGAGGAGATAAAGAAACACGTAACTTTTTTAAAATTTTATATATTTTATTATCATATTTCATTTAACTTTATTAGTTAATTATTATTGTAGAATTTTCATTATTAATATAATATTAATTTATCGTAAATTATTGAATACGACATATAAATGATAATTTAACAATATAATATGTTAATTAACAACAATCAACTAATAAAATATAAAATATATAAAGTTTTAAAAGTTAACAAAATTGTAAAATATGAGTGACAAAAAATAATTGCTATAATATAATATGATATATGTTTAATAGTAATGTACTAATGTAATATCATTCAATTGATACAAAAAAGTTTTAGATTGTCAATAAAAAAATGACTATTAATATAAATTTCAAGATAATTATTATAAAATTTAATATAATAATTATTTAAAAAATATAATATAAAGGGAGAATTAAAAAATTAATAAATAAGAGTAATATATTTAAAAAATTTAAATTATGATGATAATTCTCATAATAAAATTTTGTAGCATTAAAAATATTACGTATTTTTTTATTTTAAAAATTTAAATATACATATAATTGTTCTTCACAAATTTTTGTAGTATGAAACAATCGATAATTTTCTCATTTTCAATTTTGGGATTTTTTTGTGTGTGTAAGTATAGCTAAACAACCACCCACTTATATATTTAAGGTCATAAATAATAGTAAATAATTAAATTTATAAACTTATTTAATATTTCAAAGATTTATCAGTTTTTTAATTTTAAGGATTAATGTTATAATATCTTACAATTTTTTAAGGACTAATTTTTTTATTATATATTAATTCTAATTAGATTATGTTAACCAGCTACATCATCGTACATATAATTTAAAAAAATTCGTAGTTATAACTCACGCTTCCAAACTAAAAAATAATAATAATAAGTGGATATATGGAACCAAATTCTACGATCATTTATTAAAATACGTAAACTTTTTATTTTTATTTTATTTTTTTAATCATATTATTAATTCATACATAGAGGAAAATTGAGTTACTCTATAAAAAATTCTCGCTAAAGTTACTACTTTTAATATATTCCTTGAATCTATTAAATTTTATTAACTCAACAGTTTAATATATTGCTTTTCTCCTCTCAAAAAAAAATATTGCTTTTCTTTTACAATAGCGTGTCCTTGATCCAACAATCATGCAAATTAAATTTTAGAAAAAATGGGATGGTTTTAATTATATGTAATCTAATAGTCAATATTTATTTACTAGTATAAATAGTTTATTTAATGTACAAGATAAACGATTACTTCTTACAAAACTAAAGTTTATATAAAAAATACTTTTGATATATAAATTATATTTTATATTTATAATAATATATTTATATTGTGATATAAATTTATTTTAATTTATAATTATTAATAAAAAAATTAAATTAAATTTACAAATAACATGAAAAAAATATAAGAGGTTAAGTTTTTTCCTGAAAACACTATTGTTGAAGTTATTAGATTTTTATTTTAATCATGATTTATTGAATAAAATAACACTAGGAGAACTTAGTTTTGAAATAATTTGATCATTATTTTGTATATGCAACACATGATGATACGATGATGACTAGAAATGTCAACCGTGAGGTACCTTGTACCAGTGGTATGAAGCTTCTTGTTACTTGTTCCTTCAAATAAATATTTGTTTTTTATTTGTCATCATATTCACATGGGTACTTGCTAAGTAAATACTTGCAAAATTTTTCAATATTTGCAAGTATCCATTGGTATATGTGGATATTTATTAAAAATTTAAAAAATCTTATAAATAATTTTTAAAAAACATTTTGGTAATAATTTTTATTTATTATAATAATTCTTTGAAAATAATAGTTTAAAAATTAAAACTTAAATTATTTAAATATTATACACAATTTTATTAATCATGAATTTTTAATTTAAAAACTAAGGGGTATATTGGATTAGGATTCTAAAAGACTTTTTTAGTTTAAAAAAGTTCTATAAATTTTTAAAAAAATTGTAAGATTTTAATTACTTTTAAGAATTTGTAAGGTTTTACAAGACTTTAAATCAGGATTTTAATAGATTCTATAAGACTTTTAAGTCAGGATTTTAATAGATTCTGCGAGATTTTGTAGAATTTCGTGGATTTTTGACATACGATAAAAGTTCAAGATTTTTTTTTCATACATTCAAATTTAAAAAAGATTCAAAGACATTTTTTTTAATTTTTAATTGCTTTTAATTATTCACTCGCAAAAAAATATTTTTAGTATTAAATTGTAAGATACCATAATGTATTTCCTTTTAAAAATATAAAAAATCCTAATCTCACAATATAAAAATTAAAAAATAAAATTCATCATAAAAAATAAATTAAATAATTATTAAGTCATAAAAAAGAGGAAAGATAACAATAACAAACTCAAGGGAGGAAGATAGATCGTTGTTTTTATACTGAGAGGGTTCTTCCTCCAATTAAGATTCATTCTCATCTTATTCTACTTGCAAAAACCCTAACTCAAATTCATTATATATATATATATATATATATTGGAGATATATATATATATATATATATATTGTTCTAATAAATCTAAATTGATCACAAGATCTTGAAGATCTATAATTGATTGTAGAGATCATGATATCAAATTTAACTTTCACCTTTCCTTTTTCTTGATGTGTGCTAAAAAAAATTACTACTCAAAAGTTAAAATTTCAAACATTTTCTTTGTTATATATCTGAGGAATAAACTCAACTAAATAAAGTAAATTAAAAGCAAGTCAATTAAAGAGAACGGATAGAAAAATAGAACAACTCAATGATACTGTCATTTATATACTAGAGTTTCACCAAATAGGGAAATGAAATGAGAACAATAGTACAATATTATATATGAATAGTAATGCAGTATTATTAGTAGAGAAAAAAATGGAAAAGATAAGAGCATAGTAAAAAAAAATGCAAAACTCACTTGAAAATTCTTGAAGCACTTGAAAAGTCACTTCAAACAATCTTCCAAAATCTGATGGGTTCAAATGAGATTATTTTATGAATTTAATATTTATAAATACTACAAAAAAGTCCTTCAAAATCCGTCTAATACAACAATCTTTTAAAATCTTTATATTTTTTAATTCCAATGAATTGTTTTTAAGTTATAAAAAGTATCAAATGAATACTAATGAATTTTAATAGACTCTTTAAAAAACTTTTGAAAATTCAGATTGAATATCACTTTATTATTTTTAAGTGACATAAAATCCTTTAAATACTAACGGATTTTTTTACTAAAAAAAACTTTTAAAATCCTATAAAATCTTAAACTAATACACTCCCCTTAAAATCAAATTTTGAACATTAGTGATGGAGTTGAAAAGAATACGTCAAAGGATCCTCGCTACGTTGGAGGCACTTCAAAGGGTGGGATAGCTGACCCCAAGATTTAACGCGGCTGCATACACAAGGCAGGATTCGAACCCCTGACCTTGCTTAAGCGTGGATCAACCCCTACCGCTGAACCACACGCTTGAAGTTATTTTGTATTCGAATTTGATGTTATTATTGTAATTTTGATAGAAAATAAATAAATAAATTATGAACATTAATTCGTTCCAAGATTGCCTCATGCATGGACTATATGTTCCTTGCCAAACCCTTCATAGTATTAAATTGTAAACGAGTAATTAGGTTGGTCCATTTTAAGATTGATAAGTAGTGACACTCAAAACAATTCAAGATCCAATGCTGAATTGAGATTCCACTGGAATGTTGACGTTACACGTAGTTAGAGACAATTATAAAGAACCATATGTGTGTGCATGACAAGGGAGCAATCTTGTGTTAAAGTCCACCAAACTCTAAAATCAACTTGTATAAAGTAGTTTCAAATTAATAAATAATTCTATTATATAGTTATATTAAATACTTGAGTATTGAAATTTCAAAATATATAAATTAGGAATGTGTTTCACGTTTTAAAAAATTATTTTCGAAAATATTGCGAGAATGAAATATTTTCGTCTTGAATATAAATTATAAAAAATATTCATATGTATTATTTATTCTTAGGAATTTATATTACATATTTTCCTTTTTTTTATTATCATGTGAATGGGTGAAAATGTTACACTTCTATGAGAAAGAGTTATTTTATATAATTTCTCACTTTCACTTTATTATAACTCATTTTTTAAATTTGTTAATATTTAATTCAAAATAAAAATTTCCAAAAAAGTAATAATTATTTACCAAATATTTTTAATTGAAAAAATATTTCTAGTAATATAAAAAATTGGTAGTTTAACATGTACACGGACTAAATACTTATTATATAAACAAAATTTATAATGAATTGTGAATATAAATAATATTTTATATATATATAATCTTTGTTCAAGAGGAATTAGAACCATGATACTTGTACGGTATAAATCATTGATTCTCACTTTCTCAGCACCCGTTTTTAATGAGATTCTTAGATTTTATGATTTATGACTTTTTGCTGTTAAAATGTTTCTATAAATGGCTTGAAATTGAGCTTGATTATTATGAAGGTTACACCCCCTTTCATGTTTTGTGGCAACGAAATTCAGATTAAAAAAAATTAAACGGATTGTTTTATATTAAGATACTCCGACAATATTGAAACTAGATTAAGTTCATCATAAATTGTTAAGATGAAAAGCATAAAATTGGGCATATATATATATATATATATATATGGTAAATACAAATTGAAATAATAAGAAGTTAAAAAAAACTCCTAAAAACTCATTTGAAAAAAGCACCTAAAATACTATTTTAAAGAGAAATCTCTATAAACCTTTTTATGTCACAAAATAGTCATTTAGACTTAATATATAAGGGTGATTATCATTTAATCCAATAAATTGACATAGTAATTAAATATCTTACATTCATATATTGTATAAACAATCTATTTAATAAAAAATTTCATGTTCAATTTCTATTATATGCGAGAAATTTTTAGGCTAACGAGAATCATATAATACGAATAAGATTAGTATAAATGCATGCTTATTTTACTCATTTCTTACATGTTAATGCACGTTGAATGTAAATTTGCTCTCATATTGCTTTAGTACTCTTCAAAGGAAATAAACATTAATACAAACACCCATAAGAATATCTTCAGGATAAAAGAAAATCTAGGATATAATTTTCAAAAATATAATTTAATCCGTGAGCAAACGCCCCGCAGATGAATGTCAAACATAAACATTAATTACCTGTTCTTTATTAGCCGTACTAGTACTTAGTTGGTACGCAATAATGGCATTGATCGAAATTGACCAAAACAATACATGAACAAACCCTAACAACACCTTTCTTGCATTATATTAAACTTCTTCATTTCTAAAATATACACAAAAATGCTTATACTTTATAAACACCTTATTATTATTATTATTATTATTATTATTATTATTATTATTATTATTATTTTGCATTTTATATAAAAAAAAAAATTTAGGGTTTAAAATGTATACAGGTGTATGTCAGCTTACTTATTTTTTCTAAAAAAATTGGTAGATGTAAGTTAGCAAATCTCATAATTAATTATTGGAAAAATTAGGATGGTAAAAAAAATTATGCGAGACTAATTTTATTATAATGGATTATTGAAATAATGTAATTTTTAGAGTTATTCCAAACACACTCTAATTTTAAATACCTGAATTTATATATTTTTTAAAATTCCATTTGAATTGAAAAAAATACCCTGTACTTGTTTGCTAATTTGTTACTAGGTTTGAAAAATAAAAATCTACGATATTATTGACAAATGAAAGTTAGGTTGGTCTCTATAAATAGATGTTTAAGTGAATGGGAATTTCACTAGCATTGCCATCTAGAAAAGAGATCATAAAACATGGCACTTCACACTCTGTTCATTACTGTTTTGTTAACTTCCTTGGTCCTTCCCTTTCTGGTTACCAGATCTAACTCTTTGGAGACCAATGGCAGTGCAAGCCAAACCGCTGAGAGTGACCTTCTAGAATTTGCCCTAAATTTAGATTTTTTGGAGGCTGAGTTTTTCTTGGTTGGTGCTGAGGGTCGTGGATTGGATGCTTATGCTCCAGAGTTAGCCAACGGAGGACCCCCTCCCATCGGAGGCAGAAGGGCCAATCTGGACCCTGACATAAAAAATGTCACCTTTCAGTTTGGTTTAATAGCAATTGGACATATAAGGTTCTCTCTCTAGTTTCCAACTACAAAATTCACTTTTTTGACATCTTTATTTCAAAAGTAATACCAATATACTCTTCTTAACACAAATTTTTATTAGTTAAAATTTATTAGTTTTATAAAAGTAAAAGAGATTCATTAAGAGTTTAATGGTCATACGTGTTTTCACAGTGTAAAATAATTTTACATTGTTAAATATCAAATAATATTGTTAGATATTAGTATGATTATTTATTTATTTATTATAAAAGTCTACCACTTATCATAAATGATTTGTGATTGAATAATAATATATAAAATTATTTTAAACTATCAATGTGTTGTTTCATTTATTAAATAAGATGTGAAACTACTAAATTTTATAATTTTTAATAAAAAAATTTAACCAATTGAATGAATTGTGCGATAAAATGTGTTATATCAGCATTTCTGTCTTTATTTTAAGAAAACTTGTTGGATCCACTCGAAATTATGGGACTCGAAAAAGATCAACTACCCACTCGGCCGAACACTTCGACGCGCACGCAGGCCCGACAGGTTTTACTCCCGAAACCGACTAGTCCAAATTACAAAATAAATTTCAAACCATGTCAAGACCAAAATATTGTAACCCGAATACTCATAAGTGAAACATTAACGGCTTACGTTTAAACACACAACTCGTCCGCATCGGTCATAGTGAAGTCAGTTTATATTAGTGGTAACTTGGTAAAATTAAAGAAGGGAAATGTTAAGCAAGACAAACTTCAAAGTTTCATTAATCACGGCCGGTCAAAATGGCTACTTACAAAAATAGTCAATCTATACACCGACACTAGAGGCCGGGCTTACAAAAGGCGCCAACGGCCCAGGTACAGAATGAAAAGGCAAAAAAGATCAACCCTAGCCTACCTTATACAACTGCCGACCCTGGCGGGTCCTCGCCACCCACCACATCTATAACCGGGTCCTCTTCCTCGGTCTGTTGCACCGGAGCCCGGCCAAACTCAGCTTGCCGAGGAGCTTCGACATCAGGTTGAGCCCCTTGGGGGAACTCGGCAAAGCTGATAAACTTGCCATTCAAGAAATCCCGGCTAACGTCAAATTGAAAATCAGCCGGGACGTCACAGAACTGATAAGCTTGCCGGATAGCATGGTTGAAACCGGCGTCGTGCTGGGAGAGGATCTGCTCGGTGGCTTCGGCCTCGAACTTGGCGGCTTCCTCCTTTAGCCGATTGATCTCACCAGCAGCGGCGGCAGACTCGGCCTTCATCTTCTGCATAGCCAACTTTAGGTTGTCGGCTTCCCTACGATAGGCATCGGCCGCTTTCTTCAGCTCCTCAGCCGACTCTTTGGCCTTGGCGTTGGCACTCAGAGCATCCTTCACTGTATTCTCGGCATCCTTCAAGCGTGCTTGAAGCCTCTCGGCCGAGACCGCCGATCTCATCATGACATGCTTTGCCACAAGAGAAGTCCGAGCATCAAGCTCACAGAAGAGCTTGTATTTGGCCTCAGCGGACATTCCCTCCAAATATTGAAGTCCTCCGCCAGTGGTAAGGTCGAGACTGACCAAATTCTTGACCTGAACTCCCGATGCCAAGAAGTTAGACCCGGCCACAACGGCCGGAATGGCAAAGGCACCGCACCCTGCTTGCTCCAAAGATAATTGTTTGGGGTGCTTGGAGGAGGAGCTCGGCCTTTCCGACTCAATATTCTGTTCCGTAGCCTGCGCTCGAGACATGTTCCCGTTGCACTTTAAGGGCCGACCGTGCCGGTGACACCTTCCCGCTCTCCTTGGTCTCCTTCGCCCTCTTGGCGAGCATTGCGGTCACATCTAGTTTACCCCCAGCCATTAACCCTACAACAACACATCTTAACATCAATTCAAAACTGCTAAACAACCGAAACTTGAAAACACATACCTAGCAAAGCCATCTCGAAATGAGATGTTTCAAAAATATCCAAAAGGCCTCGGACAGGCAGGCCCTTCGGTAACTGATCCAGTAGGTCCACGATCTCCTTGTCCTCGTCGGGAAGTCCGGACACGGAAAATGCCTCGTAACGAGTCGGACGCTTCGTCCAATAGAAGGGAAACAATGGGTTGCCCTCACGGTCATAAAAACAATTTTTTAACTCCGGCCCCCAACGAACCTTGAAAAACCCACTCTTAAACCCTTTGTACGAAGAAGTGAAGGCCCGAAGAAACCCTCGCTTCGGCACCCGAGACAGAGACACCCACTTCACCGGCTTGCTCGGTCGACAAGTATAATAATATAGAAAGGTGAGGGGTCGGGGAGTGAAACTCAAGCATAAACAGAGATTCCAAAACGCCTGCATCGCGGCCCAGGCATTCGGATGCAACTGAGTCGGGGCAACATTGAGTACTCGGAGAACCCCCATCTGAAAATCATCAAAGGGCAGCTCGACACCGAGATCAGTAAACCAACACATGTAGGCGTAAAAGTAGTCGTCATCATTCTCCCCTCGTTCCAAAAACACAAAGTCGGCCTCCGACCCATCGTCCACGCAGGCCTCGGCTAGTAGGGGAAACTGGTCTTCCCCACTCCCAAAACAATTTTCCAAAGACACAAACGTGTCCAGCAACCCTTGGTCCGACAGCTGAGAAAAATAAACGCCGACCTCACCGTCAACCCATTCATAGCCAGGCATCTCCAAAGTCCCGTAGTCGATCCGCGCCCTAGCCCGAGTAGTTGAACCAATAGCGCCTTTACCTCGCGCGCCCCCAACTACTTCTACTCCATCCCCGCTAGAACCGACTCGCAACGCAACCTGCGATGTTGGCTGACCGACGCGACCCACACCCTGTTCGCCCACTTCGACTGCCCGAGCCAAAGTTCCCTTTTTTTTGGAGTTTTTTAAACTTTTGCTCAATCAGCAGTTTCCTCCCCACTCCCCAACACATACGGTTTCTGCATTCATCAATTTAAGATACCTAGGAGTTTACCACATTTACTGTTACTCTGAGAAATTGATTACAGGCCCCTGCTAAGTTGGAAATAGAGGTTACAAATCTTGCCGCAAAAGCTGGGAAAGGTAATTCTTTGATGACTTGTTCAGTGAGACTTTATGAATGTCCAGTTGAGTGAGATTTTGTTTATACAAAGTCTAATGCTATTGATTCAGTCCATCTTAGTAGTTTAATCAGTTAAATCAAACTTTCCAATGTAATATTTTTCTTTCAACCATGAATTGTCATTTATTATGTAGGTTTTTTATTTTCTTTCAACTCAGCTGCTTTTTCCTCAGAACTTATGTATCATCATGCAGGGGAAGTTGTGGGCGCACTTTCTTTTTCTGTCGGACATGGTGCAAGTATTTTAAAGAAGGTTGCTTCCGTGAGAATGTTTCCCACTCCAAATGATGCTCAGAATATTAAATCGTATCCACTTAGTACATCGGTCAGTTTCTATATTTTAATCATTTTAACAGGATGTGTCTGTTTGATGAATTATTATTAAATGTCTAGAAATTTGTCTACTTATTTTTCTCTTTCACTTTTGCAGGTTCAGCAAAATGTTGAAGCCATGCATAATGGTTGCCTCTTTGCGTCAACCTCTTATTTTGAAAGAAACAGAATTGCTAACCTTCAAAATGATATGGAAAGTGAGAACATTGGAGATAGAGACATAGGTTTTTGGGTGGGGCTTGGCACAGAGAGGGAATGGGAGAGTATTCGATCATTGCTTCCACTTTCGGTGGCTCCAATATCATTACAGAATGAATATATTGGTATGGAAGTTGTGATGAAAAATGGAAAGAAGCATGTAATTTTCAGGGGTCTTGTTACAGTAGTGAATGATTCAGATGTTATTTTGAATATTTTGACAAGTCATGCATCCATTGGTTGTGATCCTTCACTTGGAGTTAACAGTTCTAATGACGTAACTGAAGAAGTCTTTCAAAATCAGTATTATCAGCCAACATCTGGTTGGGGTAACAATTGGCCTGGTGTGCACAATGACAATCCTGGACATTGGAGCACAAGGGACTTCTCATACTCATCTAAGGTTGGTATATGTTATATATTCTGTTATCAGTTGTTAACTCTCTTAAGATTCCATCATTATGATTATTTTCCTCATTCACTTGCACCATTTTGAAGGATTTCTTTGAACCCCCGCTTCCTCCTGGGTGGAAATGGGCTTCGGGTTGGTCCATAGATAAGTCTCAAAATGTTGACAAGGAAGGCTGGGCATATGGGCCTGACATTAAAAACTTAAGATGGCCTCCTACTTCTTCACAGTTTTCTACCAAATCAGCCAATGATGTTGTGCGTCGAAGGCGTTGGATTCGTACTAGACAATCTTTTTCTCAGCAAGGTACAGAATGCTTGCAGAGCGGAGCAAGTACTGTGCACCCTGGAGCTTCAGCTGTTTTATCATGGAGAAGTACATCTAAGAACTCTGACCATTGTTTGCAAGTTCGACCTAAATTTGATAATTCTCAGCCTTCATACTCATGGGGTTGTGCTATTGCTGTTGGGGCAAGTTATATTTATAGCAAAGACCAACTATTAGATCCGGTTTCTAGACCAAGTTCTGTGACACCCAATTGCTCATTGAAGCTTAATGAGCTTGAGAAAAAAGATATACTTCTGTGCTGTAATCCTAGTAGCGGAAGTAAACAATTGTGGTTTAGTGTGGGTACAGATGCCTCGGTTCTCAATACTGAATTAAATATACCTGTATATGATTGGAGAATATCTATTAACTCTCCTTTGAAATTGGAGAACCGGCTTCCTTGTCCTGCTGAATTTTCAATCTCAGAGAAAATAAAGGAAGGAAGTTGTATTGAGCGGCATCATGGTGCCGTTTCTTCTCGTCAGAGTGTACATATCTATTCAGTTGATATTCAGAAACCCTTGTATCTTACTTTGTCTGTGCAGGGTGGCTGGGTCATGGAAAAGGTGATAACTAATCTAGCTCTGCACATATTTTATTTTATATTTGAGAAATTGTTTTAAATTTTGTGTCTTATGCAATTTAGTTGATGCGTTCATCTTCTTTACTTGATTTATCTTATTTAGGACCCAATTCTTGCACTGGATCCTTCTTTCTCAAACCATGTCTCATCTTTTTGGATGATTCACAAGCGAAGTAGAAGGTTTGTAATATGTTTTCCTTTTTCTTTTTTCTCGAATCTCAATTAAATTTTCTTTAATTGATTTGTTTCATTTTTGTTGTATTGAATTGAATACTGTTACACTAATATTTTTCCAATATTGTTCTTAGAGGTGAAGTATTTTGTCTGGTTTAAGGTGTATTTCCTTTGAGACTTCAATTTATATTTTTATCGTGTCATCTAGTATTGTTACATATGTTGCATTCTTTTGCAATAAAAATATAAAAAAAAAATTATATTCGTTTGTCCCCCTCATGTCAATGTCATGTATTTCTTATCATTTTTTATTTTTGTCCTTATATTTTCTGTTAGAACTAGTTTCTGGTACTTGGTGATCAGACCTCAAGAAGCTTTCAAATGTAATGTCATCCTGAAATGAATGTTCTAGTTATATTATGTGCTTTGTAATACCCTAGCAGAGCATTACTAGCATTCATATGTCGCATTGTGGAAAACATAAAAGCTAAAATGAAACTTTGTCTTTATTATGATAAAATTGAAGTGGAAAAGAAAAAGTTAAAAGGGATGATCAAAGTACCTTGCAAATCCTTAAAAATAACAAAACATAAGTCTTCATGCAAGAAGAGGTTATTAATACTAGACATAAGAAACTAATAAATATCTTAAAACATTTAAAACTTGAAAGTTGGTCCTTATAATAAATATCTTATACTTGTCTTCCTATTATGTTTGCTCTTTAAATTAAATTAATGATCAGTGGGAGCCATAACGACACACTACATATAAATAACATAACAATCACATTTATACAAGGTTCTTAACTTTTCAATTGAGCAACACAGAACATAAAATAACATTAGATTCATTTAACATTATTAACTATAAACCTTTAGCCTTTTTCATCCTTAAAACAAATTTGAGCTCATAATATGAAGGACCGCACTTTTTGTTTTTCGGTACATCCATTGGGGATTCAAAGTGTTTACCACTCTTCTTTATCCAAGGAATGTCATATGCTACTCTTTGGGTGTTTAAAGGAGTCGAATATTCTTTGTTGTTCAAAGGTGTATTAGGTTTTATCTCTCATCATCCTTTGCAGATTCAAGCATCCTTTGGGGATCATCATTTTGCTTTCTTAACATTCATATCTGACATCAATTTCTTTATTTCTGTTAAGATAATTCTATAAGATATAGTTTAGATATACTAGTTTATCTTCTCCTATTTTCTAGTTTAGTTTCCTTAGTCAGTTTTATCTAAATCCCTAAACTTTAAGGATTGATTATGTTTTATGCCTATTTATTTTATTGTACCTATTCAGATTCAATAATAAGAAATTATTCATATTCAAGTTGGTACCAGAGCACTCTGGTCCAGGAACCCTAATCCTTAGGGTTTTTGACTTTTGTGGGCGATTGCCGGAGTTGACACCGCCTATACATTCAAAGGTCGCCGATCGGCCTCTCCGTGCGAGCCACCACCAGTCGTCGTCTCACGCGCCCTCACGCGCGATTCTTGTTGAGGAAGCTCGCCGGCACGTGGGGATCACGCGCCACCCTTATGGCCTCCATTTGCGATGCGGTTCACTCCGTTGTACTCGTTGGCCCTCCCTCTTCTCGTTTTGACCCTTTTCAGGTTGTGGGTCACACTCTAGGTGGTCTGTTCGTGGTTGTTTGGTTGCTGTCTCGAATTCCGTAGTCGTTTGGTGGCTGTCTCGGAGCTTCGTGGTCGTTTGGTTGCTGTTTCGGAGTTCCATGGTTGTTTGGTTGTTGTCTCGGAGTTTCGTGGTCATTTGGTTGCTGACTCGGAGTTCCGTGGTTGATTGGTTGCTACCTCGGTGTTCCATGGTTGATTGTTTGCTGTTTCTGTGGTTTTTTGATTGAGTTTTTCTTTTGTTGTTTTTCTCCTTTTTTCTCTTCATGGCTCAATCTCCAACTTCAGCTCTAGAGCTCAAGATTGAATATGAGAGCAATCATCCACTCTCATTATCTATTGATGATTACAAAGAGTATCTTCAACTGAAGGCAGCACAACAAGCCTCTTCCTCTATCACTATTGCTCACACTGGTAATTCTACCGTCTATCTCTCTCACTCTACGTCTATTGGACCTTGGGTTTTGGACTCTGGTGCTTCTGATCACCTAACTGGTAATGTCTCCCTTTTCCATAGCCTATCATCACCAAAAACTCCACATCATATCACTCTTGCAAATGGGTCAAAAGTCCAAGCCACTGGTATTGGCCAAATATCACCTACCCCTTCACTACCATAAAAATCTGTTTTACTAGTTCCTGGATGTCCTTTTAATTTGATTTCTATAAGTAAGTTGACTCGGTCACTAAATTGTGGCATAACCTTCACTTCTGATTCTTTCTTGATACAGGACCGGAATACGGGACAGTGAGTCGGATATGAATCACATGGTCTCTACTACTTTCAGTCTTCTACCTCTACCATATGTGCATCTGTTGAGTCTCCTAGTTTAATTCATCGTCGCCTGGGTCATCCAAGTTTGAATAAATTAAAGAAAATGGTACCTCTTCTCTCACGCTTGGAATCCTTAGAGTGTGAGTCATGTCAATTAGGGAAGCATGTTAGAACTTCTTTTCCTAAGAGTATTAATAGTCGAGTTGTGTCTCCCTTTGATGTCATTCATTCTGATGTTTGGGGCCCTAGTCGAGTTCCTTCTCTTTTAGGGCATAGGTATTACGTCACCTTTATTGATGATTTTTCTAGATGTACTTGGATATTTTTAATGAAAAATTGCTCTGAGTTATTCAATATTTTTCAAAGTTTCTATTCAGAGATCAAAACTCAATTTGGCAAAGTAATTCGGATTTTACGAAGTGACAATGCTAAAGAGTATTTTTCAGATTGCTTCAAATCATTTATGACTTCCCATGGCATTCTACATCAATCTAATTGCCCTTATACACTTCAACAAAATGGTGTAGCTGAGCGAAAATATAGACATATTGTGGACACTGCTTGTATAGACATATTGTGGACACTGCTTGTACTCTTTTATTGAATGCCAATGCACCCCTTATAAGGAATATTGTAATTTTGGCAAATTATAGACTCTCTTTATTAATTAATTTGTTTAGTAATTTTTTAATTAAATAAATTGATGTAGTATATTGCCAAAACAATTCCTATTACAGAAATTAATTTGATTAAAAATTACAATAGATGTTAGTATGACAATATGTCTATACAAGCAGTGTCCACAATATGTCTATATTTTCGCTCAGCTACACCATTTTGTTGAAGTGTATAAGGGCAATTAGATTGATGTAGAATGCCATGGGAAGTCATAAATGATTTGAAGCAATCTGAAAAATACTCTTTAGCATTGTCACTTCGTAAAATCCGAATTACTTTGCCAAATTGAGTTTTGATCTCTGAATAGAAACTTTGAAAAATATTGAATAACTCAGAACAATTTTTCATTAAAAATATCCAAGTACATCTAGAAAAATCATCAATAAAGGTGACGTAATACCTATGCCCTAAAAGAGAAGGAACTCGACTAGGGCCCCAAACATCAGAATGAATGACATCAAAGGGAGACACAACTCGACTATTAATACTCTTAGGAAAAGAAGTTCTAACATGCTTCCCTAATTGACATGACTCACACTCTAAGGATTCCAAGCGTGAGAGATGAGGTACCATTTTCTTTAATTTATTCAAACTTGGATGACCCAGGCGACGATGAATTAAACTAGGAGACTCAACAGATGCACATATGGTAGAGGTAGAAGACTGAAGGTAGTAGAGACCATGTGATTCATATCCGACTCCAATCGTCTGTCCCGTACTCCGGTCCTGTATCAAGAAAGAATCAGAAGTGAAGGTTATGCCACAATTTAGTGACCGAGTCAACTTACTTATAGAAATCAAATTAAAAGGACATCCAGGAACTAGTAAAACAGATTTTTATGGTAGTGAAGGGGTAGGTGATATTTGGCCAATACCAGTGGCTTGGACTTTTGACCCATCTGCAAGAGTGATATGATGTGGAGTTTTAGGTGATGATAGGCTATGGAAAAGGGAGACATTACCAGTTAGGTGATCAGAAGCACCAGAGTCCAAAACCCAAGGTCCAATAGACGTAGAGTGAGAGAGACAGACGGTAGAATTACCAGTGTGAGCAACAGTGACAGAGGAAGAGGCTTGTTGCGCTGCCTTCAGTTGAAGATACTCTTT